CTCTTGCGTGTTTTCATTTCAAGTCTATTTTGGTGCAATACAGAGGAGAAACTGCTCTGTCACAGTCTGTTATGATCTCTCATTTCCTGAGTATCTTCCCTTTCCACATACCTCCTTTGTTTCCCTCTGTGATCCCTCCTTGTTTACTTCATGTTTTATTTTGAAGGTTAGTTTCAAATGTTGGTGGTTTTCTTTACTTTTGTTTCTGTTTTACTTTTTCCTCTTTTACTTCTGTTTTTGTTCCTGCTTTTCCCTTTTGAGTTTACCTGTGCCTTATTATCTCTTTTTATATAAATTTTCTTTGCTCCCTTTTTATTTACATCTATGTCTGCTACTTCTAGCGTTGTTGTAAATATAAACACTGTTTCAAATTAGCTAAAAAATGGCAGTCAGCCACTTAATTACATAGTTCTCTATTTCTGATATCTGCTGACATTAATTTTACAAGTTTTTGGTCCTCACGTGGTTCATATTTCCTTTACATTTCTTCTTGTGTACTTTTTCCTCACTTTCTCATCGTCTTGAGTTCGCCTGTACTTTATTGTCCCCTTTAAATCATGTTTTTCACTCACACTTGTTCTCCAGTTTCTCTGCACTTATTGTGTATTAGTTTCAAATGTGTGTTCGCTGTCACACAGAAAGTACACATTCTGACAGTATTTCAGAGTAACCCTGAGATCACAGTTAGCCATTTTACTTTTTTTACATCTGTTTACTGACTCTTGTTTCTCTTCCCCTTAACCTGTCATATACATCTTTGTCTTAGTTTCTCAAATATATTTTGTATATTTTCTTCCCACAGTAGTTCCACTTATGATATTATCTTGAGTTCACCTGGACCTTATTATCCCCTTTTAGATTATTTGTTTTCATTTACGTCTGCCCTACGATTCATCTACACTTTTGTTCTTTTGTTGTTTCAGCTGTCACAAAAATTGTTCAAATGGACAAATTTAGATACTTTTGATATTATATTTCAGATCACAGTTAGCTTGCTACTTCTCTGAAGCAAACTGAGATATTAAGTCTTTTTCCTGCCTGTTTTCCCTTTGTTTTCAGTGTTTGGAAAAGTTCCCCGTGATCCAGCACTTCAAGTTCGGTAGCTTGCTGTCCATCCAGCCGGCAAAGCCTTGACTCTCATGCGAGGAAACGCGATGGAAAAGACCAAAATCCCAACTCGTTGGAACCTGCAGTTTCCCTTCCTCTGGCGTCCTCACGTGCAAATCCGACAGTAGCAAAAGACAACCACATGTAGTGTGACACCTCATCCCCTCATGGGCACGCGTGTGGTCATGAAAGCTTGCAGATATCCATAACTTTAATGCAAAGGTGGAAGAAGAGCTTTGTGAATCTGGAGCATCGCATTTTTGTCATGTTATTTAAGTGATGGATAGAGTTTGAGGGACTTTTGTTTTGTTATCAGGTTTGCTCATTGGTGCTTTATATTTAAATTTGACACTGGAGTGGATAAAAATATGACTTCTTCATAATCTTCTGCCATAGTTCCATCTTCGGTTTTACTGCTTTTTCAACCAAATGTTTGCATTTGTTTTCTTTTTTGCAGAACTACCAATAATTAAATTTCCCATTTTGTCCAAACATCTCATTCATAATTTGACATGAAAAATGTACTCTATATTTTATACTTTAAGAAATGTATTGTGGGAAAAGTAACGGATTAGATTTGACAGTCTTTGCATGAAAGCTTTCTTTTTCATTAGTTTTCTGTCCCTCACAGTCACCGTCAGTAGTGTAAACCGGTGTCTTCTTCCAATCCCGGCCCAGTCTGAATTTATTTCATCTGACATCAGCTCCAATAGTAAATACTGTAAAGTGACAAACCATGAATAAATTCCTGTGGTTGTTCTGTGCAGCTTTTTCCTGAAAACGCTCACCACAAACAAAAGATTTATGATTTCTCTCTCCTGCTTTACATTTTACGTGTTCTAAAGCCGTTTTAATTTAATAAAAGAGAAACAATTTTTGTGACCCCCAAAACTTGATTTCATACATTTCACCTCTCCGTGCACTTGATTTGTCTTCATATTTTCAGTGTAATATTAAAGCCACTATATAAAGTCCTGTGCACAAGTCTTGAGCCACCGTTCATTTCTTAATTTTTTGGGGAGAAAGTATGAAATGCATTTATTGAAACGTGCAAACACCCTGAACTCTCTTAATCAAGCTGCCCATAATTGCACTAGGTAATCTTCAGAAATAGTTCTTTTTCAAGGACATTCCAAGGTCTTTGTGGGATGCTGGCTGACACTTTCTGTGAATATGATCCCGCCCTACCTCTGCGAAGGTCTGTGCTCTGAGGAGATCAGTCAACGACTGTACTTGTCTGCTATCAATTTTGACAAGATCTCCAACAACATTGGCTGAAATGCAGTCCAAACCATGACAGAGTCTCCACTGTGTTTTACAGATGGCTGTAGTTACTCACTGTTGTACTTCAATGCATACTGACGGTGATTTGAACCAAAACTGTGAAATTTGGATTCATCACTCCATCAGACCTGTTTTCACTGATTCTCAGTCCAGTTATTATGTGATGTGGCATATCTCATATCTCAGCCCTGTCTCCCTTTCTCAGTAATGGCTTCTTGGTGGCCATTCTTCCACTGGGACCATTTCTGACGAGGATTCAGTGAATGGTAGATGGATCAACTGAAGCTCCAGAATGCGTTCCATGTCAAAATAGACCAAGTTTTCTACTACTAGCTCTTTGGGAATCGCCTTGTTGATGAAAAAAATACTATTTTATACTGCCAGAACCAGTATACGTTACGCCGTTAGAAGTTACGCCCACCCTTTATAGAGTACGGTGAGTTCAAGGGACGTGTTATTAGACGATGAGGTTGACAGACACAGGTGTGTAGAAAGCAGACCTACCCCACATGTATGCAGGTGCTTTTGGAACCTAAATGTGAAGAGGTACGTCTCAGGAGCAAGAAATGTTTTTCATTTTTTCATTACTACATCTTTTTTTTTAGTTTTATGTCTGCTTTCACTCGTTTTAATCTCTTTTCTTTCCCCTCATTTAGTTGTTGAAGTTAAATTTTATTAAAAAGTGGCTTTCAAAACACCCAAGGACACTGTACAGAGCAAATACTCCAGGCATAAAAACAGGAAATAAACACAATAATAAAAGAAAGTTTAAGAGCATGGAGAAGTTATATAGAGTAGGCTATGTTGAGCAGGTGGGTTTTGAGGGTGGACTTGTAAAACTTGTTTCAGGTCTTCTTTCAGTTGCTTCTCTGTGGTCACTTTGCATCTTTTTGTCATTTATTGCTTTTTTTTAGATTTTGTTTTCTGGCTTTTTGCTGTTGATTTTATCTTTGTAATAATTTTTTGTGTGTTTGGAATGATTTTACCCTTCATCTCAGTAATTTTAAATGATTTTGTGATTATTTTATGTTAATTTTTTATTGTTTTGTGTCTCCCTTCATTAGTTTATGTCAGTTTGCTGTCATTTGCTCATCATACAGCTTTGTGGATCTTTTAATCTCTTTTTAGTCATTTCTGCATCTGTTTGGGTCTTTTTTGTCGTCTTTGCAGTTGGTTTACTCCATTTGATGTGTCTACAATTGTTTCAGATTGGGATGTTTTCATTTGAATCTCTGTTCATGTCTGTTTTGGTAGTTTTATATCTCTTTCGATTCTTTTATCCCTGACGCATCATTTTGCATCTCCTTGTAGTCGTTTTACTTCCCTTAAAACATCTCGTCATCTATTGCTTCACTTCACTCCTTTCTTTGCCTGTTTTTATTTGTGTCTCTTCAGGAGAGTGCACATCTTCACAGACACTACACATCTCATTATGACCATCATATGTCAACTTTGGGGTGTTTTTACATCTTTTTTGTCATCATTTTATATATAAATTGTTTATCTTACATTTTTGTGGTGATTTCAGCGTCTTCAGTGTCATTTAATATCTCTTTAGAGTCATTTTGTCTTCTCTGTGCAGTGATTTATTATTGTCTCTTTCATTTCCAGCTATTTTATGTCTCTGAGATTCTTCTTAAACCTCATCTCAGTGATTTGACTTCTCTCTGTGGATACTTTATGTCTGCTTCTGGTTCATTTACGTTTTTCTCCAGCTGTTTGTCATCTGTGTTTTTGTGGTTCGATGTCTTTTTTGTCATTTTAAAATCTCACTGAGATCCTTTTTTTTCCTCTTATATCATTTCATATCTTATTTTAGTTGTTTTATCCCTGTGCTTGTTTTCCTTCCCAGTGGTTTTTATATGTCTTTGCAGTATTTTTAGCTTTATGTCATGTCAGTCATTCTTTGCATCTCTGTGTTTGTCATTTTGTAGTTTTATTTTTGTAGTTTTCTGTTTCTTTCTGGTTGTTTTATCCTTCTTGCTTCATTTTTTTTTTTTTAAAAACTGTAGTTAATTTCTGATAATTGTGTTTTGTTTATTGTCTCTTTTCAGACTTTCTTTGTCTCTTTGCAGTTGTTTTCTCTCATTTTGCAGCGGTCTTTGTGGATTATTTCGCATCACTTCGAGACTATTTTTTTGGCTATTTTCTTTTTCTTTGTGGTTGTCTTCTGGCTCTTTTTATTTTGTATCTCTGAATTGTTTTACTCCTCATCTGCGTCATCATTTAACATCTCTCTGTAGTCATTTTTGTGAATTTTAGTCTTGGTTTAGTTTTTTTCCATGTCCTTTCACTTCTTTGACATCTCTGCTTTTGAACATTTTACATCTTTGTGGACTTTGTTTTTGTTATTTTAACCCTTTTTTCTGTCCATTTACATTTCTTTACACTCATTTTGAGTTCCTCTGTAGTTATTTTACACCTGTCTGTTATCAGTCACCGTGGTACTTTTACATTTGATTATTTTCTGTTCTGAGACATTTGAATCAAACGAGTGTTTCTCCCCTCTGCAGAGAGAGGCCGAGTCTCGCTGACTCAGATATTGACTTCTCGTACAGTGCGAGTCATAAAGCAGGAGGAGTGAGAGGTCACAAATTCTCTTAAATCGCTCGTTCACGCGACCGAAGGCGCGGTCTGCTGGTGCAAGCGGTTCCTGTGTGAGTTTTACGCGTCCTGCTTGTGACCCAGAGATGAACTGAGCAGTGAGGCAGATGGATTCTGAAACGAGGGGGAAAAGTGTTGAATATTGCATGAGTCGGTCTACTTTACACTGCTCCTTCATGCAGGCGAAGATTTTTAGTTTTCAGATGTGGCTATCGGGAGTAAAAGAGAGCTCTGACAACTGTGAAGGTCCTTTATTTGAGAAAAGTGGGAAAAAAAGCAAAGTCCTGGAAATCCCCTGACTTCCAGGACTGCAGAGCTGAGAGTAAAACACGACAAGTCTAAAGGCGAAGCAGCGGCTTCAGACTAAATGCTGTTCAACCAGAAAAGCAGCTCTCCTTTCACATGTTGTTCAACTGCCGTAAGCTAAAAGCTCCACACATGAGTCAGTGTAGTATGACAAGCCCTGCTCCCTGACTCACAGTCATAAAACTCCCTCTAACTCACGAGTCCCAGGTCTTTGTGTTGACTTAGTTTGAGAACTTTAGGTGCTAGAAAAAGGTTCAGGACTTTTTGAGATTATAGTTCTGAACATTTCTCAGATTTCTCCCCAGCGTTACGACCTCTGCATATAGCAGGGGTATATTTCCAATTGAAGTAAGACTTTTGGCATTCCTCTGTCTTTAGACTCTCAAGTATCTGCAGTCTGAGGTGTGAGGGTTATTTTTATATGTGTTGATCACTACATAGAAGTATCTTGCTACGTAGTACAGGCCTCTGATCAGAGTGTAAACACTGTCAACAAAGGGGCTGAATGTTCCCGGAACTTTTGGAGAACATCTGCAACTGATGCAACATCGTAGAGCTGGCCTGGGATGACGTGAAGAGGTGGAAGAAATGTGCCAAGTTTTCCTACATTCTCAGAAAAAAACAGTCTGCCGTACAACAACAACAACAACAACAACAACAACCTGGTTTGGTTTTTATTTGTTCTTTACTAGACGCGTATTTAAAAATCTCCCCTTTCACCTGTCTCTTCAGGTTCTCAGTAAATTTTGTCCCTCCCTGGTGGGGCTAAGAACTAAAGCCCCAAAAATAAATGTGTGGTAAAGAGTGATGTTTGTGTGGGACACTGAAGATTTGAGAAGAAATCAGTGTTCACTTGACACTTTATTAGGTTCATCAGGCTTCAGAAGATGGTACGCTGTGGTCATGGACATGGTCAGCAACAATACTCAGGCAGGCTGCGGTTTCAATGATGCTCAGTCATTAGTGAGGAGTCCAAAGTATGCCACACCATTACTCATCAGACCAGACAACATTTTTCAGTCTTTTGTTGTCCAGTGTTTTGTGAGCCTCTGTGAATCAAAGACTCAGTTTTCTGTTTTTAAATGACAGGAGAAGGAGCCAGTGTGGTCCTCTGCTGCCAGAACAAGGTTTGACATATTGCACTTTGAGAGATGGTCTTCTGCATACCTTAGTTGTCATGACTGGTTATCTAAGTTATTGCTGCCTTCTTATCAACTTAAAGCAGTCTAGCCTTTCTCCTCTGACCTCACACACCAGCAAGGCATTTTCACTCAGACCTGCTGCTAACTGGATATTTTCTCCTTTCTGAAGTGTTCTCTATAAACCCAAGAGATGTTTATGTGGGCAAATCTCAGCAGGTCAGCACTTTGTGAAATACTCAGACCAGCCTGTCTGGCACCAACAACCATGCCATGTTCAACGTCACTTCAATCACCTTTCGGATGCTCAGTTTGAACTTCAACAGGTCATCTTCACCATGTCTATAAACCTAGGTTACTGTCATGTGATTGGATGATTAGATATTTGCACTAACAATCAGTCGAATAGGTGTACCTAACAAAGTGGCCATTGATCAAACTACTAAAACTAAACTTAAAAACTTTTGAAAATTCTCCACAGTCTCTATAAAGCTGGTCACATGACCTGAAATGTAATTTGTGATTTGTAGGATTTTATGCGTT